AAAACCAGTCAGTGTAGCAGGATATGGTGGGAAGTGTGGGAGCTATGGGCACTGTGGCGTCATGCTCCCCCCTCCCATAACAGGTTTATCCTCCCCCCAGCCCAGAACAGGCACGTTGCCATCAACACAAACAAGCAGAAACTCTACGCTTTGACAGCAGCACTGTACACGGGTCGACGGCATTAGCCAAGCTGCAGAGGATGCTGGGACTGGGGCAAGCAGGACTGCGATGAGCGTGACATCATAATATTGCTTGAAAAAGGAAACTACCCCCCCACTGGTGAACAGTGCTCTGGGTCTGCCCTGGTGCCTCTAGTTCCTGGCAGCAGCCACCATGCCCCCTCTGCCCGGCCCATCCCACCCCTCCCAGGCCACCTGCACCCATATGCGGCTCAACACAGTACTGTGCCAGCAGAGCCCAGGGGGCGGGTCACAGAAACGACCCTGTGCGCTATCTGCTACTCTACACCCTGCGAGACCCCAGCTACCCTGAAGCAAAGCCCTCCTCTCGCTGTCTGTGGCTCATCTAAAGCCCTCCTCTTACCATCTGTGGCTCATGTAAAGTCCTCCTCTCGCTGTCTGTGGCTCATATAAAGCCCTCCTCTCGCTCTATGTGGCTCATCTAAAGCCCTCCTCTTACCGTCTGTGGCTCATGTAAAGTCCTCCTCTCGCTGTCTGTGGCTCATGTAAAGCCCTCCTCTCTCTGTCTGTGGCTCATGTAAAGTCCTCCTCTCGCTGTCTGTGGCTCATGTAAAGCCCTCCTCTCGCTCTCTGTGGCTCATGTAAAGCCCTCCTCTCGCTGTCTGTGGCTCATGTAAAGCCCTCCTCTCTCTGTCTGTGGCTCATGTAAAGTCCTCCTCTCGCTGTCTGTGGCTCATATAAAGCCCTCCTCTCGCTCTATGTGGCTCATCTAAAGCCCTCCTCTCGCTGTCTGTGGTTCATGAAAGGCAGGGTTCTTCAACTCTGGACCTCGATTCCAAATCCAGGCCGTGTTTTCAGTTCTCCCAGGTAGTTGTTTAATAATTACTGATTCTGATTGGTCAAAGGCTTCACACCTGACTGACAGGTAAAGGAAGGCTGGAAAACCAGCAGTGCTCGGACCCCGAGGACAGTGAGTTGAATAACCCTGATGTAAAGCTCTCCTCTGGCTGTCTGTAGCTCACAAAGCAAAGCGCTTCTCTTGCTGTCTCCCCCGTGTTTCTGAAAACTAACCCCCTTGCTCCAAACTGTTCCAAGTTCATCAAAGCATCAGGAGAAGTTTGCAGCTTTTAACTGCAACGGGCTGCAGCTGTGCTGGTCCCATCCGAGCGTGAATGAGGCCACTGAGTCACACTTAAGATGCTGGCGTCCCAGACAGCCAGTCACACGAAAGAGAGAAATGCAAAAACTCATCACCCATTCCTGCTGCAGCACTAAATGCTTTTGGCGTCACTTGCAATGAGAGAGAGGATGCAGAATCGCAATTTTTCCGAATGCGCTTTTTGATGGGCCCGTTTCATATTCTCTTGACAGTGTTGAGGATGCATCAGCTGAATGCCGTAAAGCCTGAGAATGACATACTCGCCCCCATCCCCACCTGCCCCCGGAAGGCAAAAAACTCATTTCACATAAACTTCCTGCTACTCTGGTCTAATGTACATTAACCCACCATTACTGCACAGGACTACATGCACAAACAAGTGTGCAGGTGCTGAACGTGCCCCACGCAGAGAAGCCAGCAAAGCAACAAAAGGCGCAGCATTTGGGGCAGGGGACCGGCAGGATGACCCATATGTCACTCTCTCACATGCAGAGTCACACGGCAGACGAAAACCAATATTAACAAATGTTAAGACCCACCCAGTCGACCCCTCCCTACCCCCATCTTGAGCGGGGGGGCAGGCTAAAGCCACCGTCATGAAGGGAGAGTATGAAGGTACCTCCCCTTCCCTGGGCTACACGCTTCCCATGTGCTGCCTGTGTAAAAGAGGGCCTTGGAGGACAAGGGGAGCAAGGGGCACGTTAACAAGGGTGCAAGTTTGATTTCAGCACTGGGAGGGACCAAGCCAGACCTGGACCTCCTTGCCGTCAATACACACACGGTGATCCCAAAATATTGGCAGGAACATGCCCTCCCCCCCAAGGGTCAGATTTCTGCTCGTTTGGCAGGCACAGCTTTCTGGGGCTGCAGTTAGGGGCAGTTTTCAGGTTCCACACCAGCATATCCCAAAAATACACTAAGAGGCATGCAAATACAGAGACATCCCCTGCGTTTTCACTGCACTGACCCCATCCAGCCATTTAAGGGTTTCATTGAGTTCAGGGAGGATAACTACCTCTGGTCCCTCATACGAGGACAACCGCCAAAACAGCCCATAATTCCAGGCTTCCTCTCATGAGCGTCAGGTGGCTGTAACAGAACTAGGGTCACAATGGAGACACGGCATCTGTAGGATTAGCCATACACAATATTTTCTATCAAGTGTGTGAAATGTTTAGTTTTAAATTAAAACCACATGTGAGATACAGCAATGATTCCTTGCCATTTGCCTCCATCAAACTGAGACGCTTTGATTTTAGCTGTGAATTCTGGGATTCTGTGAAAAGTCATCACTGAAGCTCTCGCTCTTTAATAGAGCTCCAACACCAAATAAAAGTAGATAAAAGATATCAATACACCATAAACAATCGATAAATCACCCAGCCCTACTGTGTTTAAGAGAAAAGGTAAAAAAAAACAGGGAAACTGTCCTTACACTGTCAAAAAGGATAATGGCATCATTGCTAAAAAGATATAAACTAACAAACAAATAAAAACATCAAATGGCCAAAAAAATCACTGTCTGCTGTTATTACATTTAACTGCACTCACTGAACTGGAAAAAAAAGGCTGAAATGATCTCTGAGGAGGCTCCTGTGTGCAGAACAAGCCTCAGTGAATTTCCAGCTGCATTGTGACCTTCCATTTGGGCCCGGATCAGATGTCACGGAGCAGGGGGACGATTATGTGAGCAAACAGAAGTATGTTTACCAAAGGAGTTCTCAGTTTTATGACTCAAGAAAGGACAAATTTCCTGTCGACACGACAGCAGTGCGCCAACACGTAATAAATGTATCAGTGAGGAAGGAAACCAGAATTTAAAGGGAGCGTGCTAGAAGCCAGCATGACTAGTCTTCACTTAATTTGAATATTGATAATTACTAATAATGGCTGCTTTGGGCAAGAGGGTCCAGCTGCAGACGCCTGTAGAGTGAAGCTCCACCCAAAATACGTGATCTTTAAGGACGTAAACTGGAGCTCCGGTTAGGGTTAGGTTTAGGTTAGGGTTTATTCGCTGTGTTGAGGTCACGTGTTTCCTGTGGAGCTCCACTCTACAGGCGTCCGCAGCTGGACCTTTCTCGCTTTGGGGGGCTATTACTAAAACGCTGTGCTTGTCTTCCTCTTAAAGCCACTGCTCAGCCAATTAGCAGCTGGGTACTACAGGTGTGGCCTAATGGGAAACGGCTTTCATTGGTGCAGCAGCAGTGAGCAGGAGGAGCCTGCGGAACACAGGAAAAAGGTGTGGGCAGCGCAGTCGGTGCAGGCAAACGCAGTCATTGCAGGCCTAGTTTATGCCTAGTGGAACTGCCCAGGGGCTGGGGTGAGGGCGGGGCCAGATGCGGGTCAGATTCGTGATATAGTGAGAGGATCAGTGACCTACCACTTTACTCCAGGTGCTTTACATGACACACATCTGCACATGCATCTGCGCACTCACTATTACAAAGGCTGCTTAGGATGTCAGGACTAGCATGGAACCCCGCAGTGTAATCTGCATGAATGAGTACTGGTTGAGTACTGAGTACTGAATGCTGGGGGAGTTCTGGCAGGGCTTTCAGAGTTAGTGGAGGCTCTCTAGGTATTTCCACTATGGCCCAGCTTGGGGGGGGGGGGGGTCTGGAGAACCTGGTTTAAGTGTTTCCAGCTAATGGTTTATTTTAGAGGCTGACGGAAGGCTCCGCACTCCCGTTAGATCCTTCAGCGAGGTGCGGTGTGGAGGACTGGGAGGACTGGGAGGACTGGGGCCCAGCCTCTGCTGCTGGCCATTTAAGGGAAGAGCGGGACCAGATGCAGGTCGATCAGAGCAAACAGAGAGAGGAGGAGGCCCAGCCACGACTGCTCTCATTTACCGTACACCAACCCCCCCCCCTTTACAGAGCAGAAGGGGCTCCTCTGAACGGCATAACTGTATGGGTCAGCAGACTGAGCACACACGCAGCCCCCCCACCACCCCGCCGCATGGTGTTCAAGGCCGTTCCTACAGGACACGGTGAGCAGCCTGGCCTCCCCCCTGCTCCTGCACGCTGCGGCCCCCACCAAAGCCAGGGCACCTCGGCATGTTCAACAGCGAAGAAAACTAGAAACTGCTGCCTGAAATTTCCCAGAATCCCATTTCCTACAAGCATCCAGGCGGGGCAGTAAGGCGACTGTAACTGTCAAATATTTTTTTTTCCAGAAAAACTACTTTCGATGCCAAAAGCACTGCAGGACCTGAGAAAAACTGGATAAGACAGTCTACTGCAGAAAAGCTCACGTAAACGAAGCCTTCCTCCACCCCAAGGAGTTTTCGTGTGCTCAGTCTGTCAGTGAGTAAACTCATCCGTCCAGCAACCAGCCTGGTTTAACAGGACTGACGTGCTGCTTGAGGGCAGACCCAGAGGGAATGTTCCAGACAGCGCCGATCAGAAAGCCCTTCTCCACGACCTCGCCGTACCATTGCGGCCCGATTCCCCTAATGGGACAGACCTTCTCAGTCACACTTGGGGTGACCTACAAAGTATGTTTTAAGGACTGTCACTGCGGGTAATACTGCCCGCTTTTTAGCAAGCTGTCTTGCTGGCACAGCAACTCATCTGCGGAGCGAAATATCCGATCATGGCGTAATCTGAGCATGCCGCAATGAGACATCAGCAGGACTTAGGTGAAGAAAGCTCATGGGGGGGGGGTCATTCAGCGGCGGCTGGGGTGGGGAGTTCCTCACCTGCAGGCTTCCTTCCTGCTGTCCAGGCTGTCGGTGCGGTTCGCGCCCCCAGCCTCCGTCTCGCCGCCGTCCGGGTCCTGTGCCAGGTTTGCTGGGCCGGCCCCGGGCAGGGGGGTGTGTCGGCCCCGGTGGCCCTTCACCTCGGACTCGGAGCTGCGCTTGACGGCCTGCAGCTGCGCCAGGGGCACGATGTCGCAGTTGTGCGGCCGGTGCCACACCGTCTGCTGGCTGGCCGAGTTGTAGTAGTAGAAGCGGTTGTTGTTGCTGTCAAAGAGCTCCCACCACTGGCTGCCGTCGGACTGGCGCACGGCCACGTCGGGGGGGGGCTCCCAGCCGCACTCCCCCGTCGCCAGGTTCACATACATGCGCTCGCGCGACCGTGGCTCAAGGATCTCCACCCAGTCAGAGCTGCGAGGGCAGAAGGGGGGGGGGGGGGGGGACTGTTAGCCAGACCCTGGAGATACAGCACACACAACCCCAGCACACTGCGACCACAACCACCACGTGAAACTAGGACTTTTTTTAATTAATGACTTTCCACTGGAATTATGACTCCTGTGACCCCTTTATGCAAACCCATCCCTCATCCATCACTGATCCTGGTCAGGGCTGTGGGGGCGATGGGGAGAAGGGACCCCTGAATAGGATGGCTGTCTTAGACAATCTGAGAAGGTCAAACCATCAATGAGAACTTGGGAAAAATCCAGAAATACTCCAGTCAAAACAACCCCAGTCATAAATAAAATCCAGAAAGAGTGACTAAACGATCAATGTCAGATGGCGGGCAACCGACTGAGGATTTGTAAAAAAAAATAGGTCTATATAAATGTAGGTTGAAAGCTGAAGAGTGCGACTGGGTAAATGCCCCCCCCCCAAATCATGTGCACCACTGAAGTGGAAAGCCGACATCAAGGTGAAACGACGTGCGGACTTGTCACAGCCGAGAGTCACGTCTGAGGAGAATGTTCATAATCACTCATTGAGAGCATTTCCAAAAATAGGCATGATCACACGAACCCACAGTCATGATCATTCAATAAAACGATGCGGTTCTACGAAGTGGAACCCCCAAGGTGTCGGGAAGGGGGGCGCAGAGCAGACAGCATTGCTATGTAGATTACAGGAAAGGCGAAGAAAGACAAAACAGACACTGCTCCCCGCATTCACTTACTTCCCTCCGTGAAAGTTTGACTGGGTGAGGGGGAAGGGGTGGGGGGGCCACTTCTTCACAGGGCTGATCGGCAGTAATGTGGCAGCTTGTTGGAGGGGGAGGGGGATGGGAGAGGGGAGGGTTGCTGGGCTAATCGCTCCTTGAGGAGACAAAACAAAGAATATCCCGCAAGGGCCAAGTGCCCTCTTCCCTCTGTCCTGAGAAGCCTTGAGTACCAGGGAAGATGTTAAGAGTCAAACACAGAGACACAGAAGGAGAGGCTTTTTCCAAGGGGGAAAGTGTGAGGCATGAGGGCAGCCGTGTGGCAGAGATGTACACATGTGCCGGGCAGGTGTAAAGGTTTTCACGGAGAGACTGGGGCCATGCTCCTGTCAGGAAAGGGTGAGGGGGGGGGGGGCTGGGGGGACTGCGGAAAGTCACACACACATACGCACATTCCTCAGGGATGTTCACACGGGGATAACAGCAAGGCCACGTCGGGATAAACCCTGACCTGACCCCTCAAAGACCCAGCTGACGGTACCCGGCCTGCTGGCTGGAGTTACCCTCAACCGTGACTTTTTGCTCAGGCACACAGAGCAGCTATAGTTCAGCCACTGTAACCCCCACCCCCCTGCCCCGCCTCATCCCTGCCCCGAACGGCAGCACACAGGAGGCAAGAAAGGGATGTGGGACATGTCGGGACATGTCAGAAGACACGCTGGGCCGGGTGAGCGAGCGAGACACACAGGGTGAACTGGCCCCAGGCAGCAGGAAGACCTGCTCTGAAAACACAAAAAGATCCATAAAAATTAACCCCTGGCTGACAGAGGCCTGAAGTGTCCCAGCCTCGGCCCAGAGAGGAGCGGCAGGACCGGCTGGGAAATGCCTGCACCATAAGGCCATAGACCCACTGGTGTTCAGGTAGTGCGTACAGATCCAAACACTCAATGCACAGGGGACAAAGAGAGCACCATTAAGTGGGGGGGGGGGGGTGTGTGAACTGACCAAGATCAGGAAGAGTATTCATCTAATTATAGGTTTAATTTTAACTCTCGGGCCTGGAGGCGACAGAGGATAATGAAAAATAACCACACATGATGGTTTACTGAGCCGCCTGGCCGGGTCACTACGTTTAGGGGGCAATGTGTCACTGACACCACCGTGGAACACAGATTCTCTGCGGTTCACATTCACATGCACACCTGCAAGCAGGTCCCACAACATACAAGGGGGAGGGGGGGTGACTCACTGGAGCTGGTGACTTTCCAGCGGTTAAATCCAAGTGGCCCTGCAACTGTGGTGACCAGATGGTGCAACACAAGGTCAGCTTCAGTCACACAGTCTGGGAGCTCATTCCGCATGCCAGTAGAGAGGGGCCTCAGCTATTACGGGCCGTCTGTGAGAGAAGGCCTCGCTATCACGGGCCGTCTGTGAGAGAAGGCCTCGCCATCACGGGCCGTCTGTGAGAGAGGGCCTCACCATCACGGGCTGGCTGTGAGAGAGGGCCTAGCTACCATGGGCCATCTGTGAGAGAGGGCCTCGCCCTCATGGGCTGGCTGTGAGAGAGGGCCTAGCTACCATGGGCTGGCTGTGAGAGAGGGCCTAGCTACCATGGGCTGGCTGTGAGAGAGGGCCTTGTTACCATGGGCCGGCTGTGAGAGAGGGCCTTGTTACCATGGGCCATCTGTGAGAGAGGGCCTCACTCTCATAACTGATTTCATCTCCATGGACCATCTGGGTGAGAGAGCCTTATGACTGTGGATCATCTGTGAGAGAGGACTGTCTGTGAGTGAGGGCTTCACCATTATGTGCCTTCTGTAAGATAGACCATCTGTTAGAGAGGGTCTTGTTACCACAGACCATTTATGAGAGAGGGCCTCGTCACCGTGGGCCATTAGTGAGAGAGGCCCCTGTCAGCGAAAGAAGGCCTCGTCACCGCAGGTTGTCTGTGTGAGAATCTGTGACAGAGGGCCTCGTCATCATGGGCCGTCTGTGAAAGAGGGCTTTGTCTGTGAGAGAGGGCCTCTTGAGCACAGACTGTCTGTGAAAAAGCCCATCTATGATAGAGGGCCTCACCACCATGGGGCATCTCTGAATCATGGCGGATACAGCTGTGGGGAGAGATGCCGCAATGACACGTCAAGTCTCTCTTTCTTGCATACACACACGCGCATGAACACACCAGGGCAGGCGGGACATGTTGCACAGACGAAAGTGTGAAACATCCGGCACAAACTCAGAACATGAGGATAAAGATGTACGGGATACGTAGTACAAAGTCTATACAAACACACAGGTAAAAACAAAGCATCTCTGTCTGCCAAAACATCTGAGAGCAAGAGCAGGAGGCAGGTTTACAGAGTAATGAGCGTCACGCCTATTACCTCCCAGCATCTCTGCCTTGACAGGACAAGAGCCCCCTCCGTATATACAAACACAGCACTCATACTGTCAGGGAGTTCTGAGGGGGGAGGGGACTGTGAAAGCGACTTCTGAAAACAATTTCAACAACCCCCGCTCCACCCCCACTGGAGCGCCAGGGGCAAAAGAGGCATGTTCGGACGTGGTTTTCCACAGAAACGTGGAGCTAGACGACACCGTGTTCAAACAGATGGTGTGTTTTGCTCACAGCACCTCTGACTTCGCCAGGAGTTTTGGAAGCTTAACCAATCCAATAAACTCTCATATAAAGCAAACAGACTCATTTTACGAGCACGTTTGCCGATTTCACACCCGCCGAGGTTCCCGCTGCGCCGGGGGGACTAAACGAAACTAATCAGCCCCAGAGCCACTGTGCCTCCAATGTGCCGGGTATCCAAAACCTGTGCCGCAGTAGGGATTTCACTGCAGATGCTGAGAATGACCCCCCCACTACCCGCCAATTCGGATCCGGAAATCAAAAAAGGCCCATAACCACGACTGTGCCCTAAAAGGGCGACTCCGTACGTAAAGATAGACGGCGGGATGTGAAGACGACGGCCATGGGACAGCCGAGGTGGGAAAGTCGCGTACGGCCTGCATTTCGGGAGTCAGGCTGCATGCAGGCACTCTGCTCCGCATTAAAGCGACAGGCTGGCTGCTGGTGGGCCACTCCTTAAAATTACACGTTTTGCCTTCCGAGGGATTTAAAAAAAAAAAAAAAAAAAAAAGCATTTTCACAATTAGCCTTGAAGAAAGAGGCAGCCGCTCTCGCACATGGAGTTAACACGTTTAGGCAAGGAGGCATTCTTGTCTTGGTCTGCAAGTTCTGCCACACTGCTGCACCAGATAAGAGGCATCCCCTCCGGACCTGCCGGCTGCTGCTTCCTGTCCGGATGGCCGGACGGGAGATTTTCCCCCTGAGTGCCACAGAAGCTCCTAAGCGTTTAGGGGAGATCTTCTCTGGCTGACAGCAGTGATTGTACGTATGACTGGTAAAGTGTAGATGCCCCATGAGGACAGGACGAGGGTCAGAGTCCAGCCTGACGCAGAGCACTGGCTGAGGGGAGCGGATGCAGCAGCCAGGCCGCAGCTAGGCTAACATGCTCTGGTAAAAGGCTACGTGTGCATGGCTGTTAATCAACCTCACGGTTTTTTGTTACAGACATCAACACTCTTTCAGATGAGCAATCGTACCATGGAGGCCACACCCTTAGCCACAATTTTATCCCGACTTCATCGGAGGCAAAGTAAACAGGAAAGCCTCCCCTCTCTCTGCCACACACATAAGCTGTTAAACCTGGGAGTCTTAGCCTGCCTTTCTATAATACACATATCAATAAAAGGCATACACACAGCCACAACCCTGGCACTCTGCCTTAGACTCCTGCAGGAGTCTAAGGCAGAGTGCCAGGGTTGTGGCTGTGTGTATGCCTTTTATTGATATGTGTATTATAGAAAGGCAGGCTAAGACTCCCAGGTTTAACAGCTTATGTGTGTGGCAGAGAGAGGGGAGGCTTTCCTGTTTACTTTGCCTCCNTTTTATCCCGACTTCATCGGAGGCAAAGTAAACAGGAAAGCCTCCCCTCTCTCTGCCACACACATAAGCTGTTAAACCTGGGAGTCTTAGCCTGCATATCAATAAAAGGCATACACACAGCCACAACCCTGGCACTCTGCCTTAGACTCCTGCAGGAGTCCATACTTGAACACTGACAGCCGGTAGTCAGCCGACGTCAGACATTTACGGTCTACAGCGCATCTATACACCTTCCCAGAAGCACTGACGCAGAAGCACAAATAATCTCATTAAATAGGCAGCGAGACAGCAGCAGGAATAGCAGGGCCTCCTAATTCCCGCTTACCAGGAATTACGTTACGTCTAATGGTGCAGGCAGCGCGGATCAGCCAATTTTCCCCGGGAGTTTTCCATACAAAAGGCCCGACCTGCCGGACAACCATCACCTGATCCGTTTGTATCTCCTCTTACTCTGACAGCACCGTCCAAGCAGAACAAGGGTGAACAACAAAAGAGCCACGCGTCAAGGACGAGCAGGAAGGCCTGCCTACGTCCCCCCCTCCCCCCATGTGTGTGGTGAAGAGGGGGACTTCCTGCCAGGCCCTCAAGGTTCACACCTGACCGAGACGAAAACGTAGCGTCAAACTTTGTTTGTCAGAAGATTTAAACTAAGGGGAGAGGGGGTTTCTTGCTAGGGGGGCAGGGGTGTACAAGAAAGGTTCCACACTCTGCTGTGGTTACGAGGACACAAACAGGGGTTCTACCAAACAGGCACAGGCGTCTAAGAGATTGCCTGCTCACTGCAGCTGGGGCCCCCAGCAGATAGACAGCGAAGGAAAAAAGCTGCCTTAAGGTTTAATGTGAGCCTCAAATTAGCAGGATGGAGGAAAAAAGTGGCTGGGGGGGGGGGCACTGGGAGCTCAGAAAAAGAGCTGTTTGGGAACGAGGGCAGGCGATGGGGGTTTCGGTTGGGAGAGGGAGGCCTGCCCTTCTGTCCTGGAACCCACAGATAATTTGTCCACCTGAGACTAGTGTTCTTCAAACGCAATGACTACAACCAATTGGGGGAGGCGGGTGTAGCTCAAAACTAGAGAGTTGGGGATTCCCTGCAGAAGAAGGGGACTCAGCCTCCCCACAGGGGGGGCTCCTGAGCCGGCATTCCTCCTATTAATAACCTAATCTCTGCTGTAATAGGACACCCAGCACTGGGCGCACCTTCATAAGGCAGGAATTCAGGCTGCATCACGAAGCAGAACGAAGCGGTGGCGGGGGGAGCTTATACTGTGCCTGTCCCCTACCCCCCAGAATTTAAAAACAAAACGGGCTGAGACTCAAATGGGCGTGATTCCATTCAGTGGCGTTCGCAACAGGTTGCCTGCTGGGCCCCAGCTTTTTTGGCACCAGGTTGAGCTGTTTCTACAGCAGGATACCAGAGGACACATAAATAACGCAAAAGACAAAGAAGGAAAAACACACGTCCCCCCCACCCCCGAGTCATGGTAAGGCCAAGTGACACACAGCCAAGTAACCAGGAAGGCAGCCACCCCGCTCAGGTGACCGACCCCCCTAGCGTCTTCGAGGGGCCTGGCCGATAACGGGCCACTCTCTCTGTGAAATCACAGCTAAAAATAGTCGCAAGGTGCCGAGAATAGCAGGAACCTCCCGGAGACTAAAAACAGCGGAATGGGGAGGGGGGGGCGAGCATTGCGTGGGGGACCACGCATATACACACCCAAAAACATTACAAAGACGAATGCTGAAGCTCACACTGAGGTCGGAGGGCGGCACACGCAAAGGGGAAGAGGGACAGGCAGAAGCAGCTTCAGACCTTAAAGGGGAGGAGGGACAGGCAGAAGCAGCTTCAGACCTTAAAGGGGAGGAGGGACAGGCAGAAGTAGCTTCAGACCTTAAAGGGGAGGAGGGACAGGCAGAAGCAGCTTCAGACCTTAGAGGGGAGGAGGGACAGGCAGAAGCAGCTTCAGATATTAAAGGGGAGGAGGGACAGACATAGGCAGCTTCAGACATTAAAGGGGAGGAGGGACAGGCAGAAGCAGCTTCAGACATTAAAGGGGAGGAGGGACAGACATAGGCAGCTTCAGACATTAAAGGGGAGGAGGAACAGACATAGGCAGCTTCAGACCTTAAAGGGGAGGAGGGACAGGCAGAAGCAGCTTCAGACATTAAAGGGGAGGAGGGACAGACATAGGCAGCTTCAGAAACATGACAAGCTGCAGGTGAAGGAATAAAACACAGTAAGGCTTAGACACGCATCGCCCCAGATCACAGAGAGAAAAGGCTCAAGACACTTGGGGGGTGGGGGGGTGGTGAGTCATGGAACAGCCGCTTGTTTTCCTGTTCAGGAGGGTAAGTGGATTACGAACGATCTTTAATCTCTTTGGCGGGGGCGGGGGTTCCTATTTCTGAGCATCTGCTGAATTACTTGTGCAGTGATTGAAATGATCGTTTCAGCAGAAATGCACCCCCCACACACACACCCCTGACATGCGATACAGAGCCCCGATGTGGCACACACCAGCAAACCTCTCAGAAACACTCTCCGCCGTCCGGCTCACAAGACGCTCCGTTGAGGGCCATCACTCCCACACCCCCCGGCCCCTATCAGCCGGCCCTTTGCTGCAGTAAGTGCCGCACTTTGGTGATCAGCAGCACTGGCGGCCCGCTGGTATCTGCACGGCCGGTCACACAATGCCGCCCCTGTTCTGGAAACAACCCACTGCAGCAGTGCCAACCTTTGAACACCGGCTGCTGGGGTAGTCAAGACACCGTCTCCAGGCAGGGCCATGGGGGGGTGGGGGGACGTGGGCTCAAGTTCCGTGTACTTCCTGCCTGAAGACGCCAAGTCCATTCTGAGCTGCAGTGACATTCTCCCTTCCTGGACCACTGGCCGACATCATGAGGAAGACGCCCTGCTCTCTGTGGCCTTTCCAAGTCCCGCCGACCACCTCAGTGTCTATAAAAAGCAGAACCCGTCCCACATGTGGCCATTTTTAAACGTGTCCACCCCACAGGTGCCAGCCCCTGCACGCTGCGCCCGTCACGGGGAATCGGCCGCACACGGCCCCATCGGCCAGAGACGGCTTCTGTTCCTCCTGGCATCTGAGGAGGCCGACGCGCATCTGTTGCGAATCGCGAGTTTCGGCAGAACGCATAGCGAACGCGTTAACCCCGCTGGGCCGGGTTCAGGGGGGGCTAGGACACAGCGGCAGATGTGCAGGTCTGCTCTGTGTGTTTGGAGGGCATGTGTAGAATGCAGAGCACACAGCAACTGTGGCGGGACACGGGAGAGATCAGCACACCTCTCAGGTTACTCTGACAATGAGGCTTTGTTGGGGGGGGGGGGGCTCACTTTCTCAGCACCGTTTATGTCTTTAAATCTGCATTAAGCCCCCTCCACTCCCTACCGTCCCCCAATAAAGCACACCTTAAACCAAGGATTACTGACTCCCGAGCGCTTTATCCCTGAAATGTGTCACAGGAGCTGTGGAGAGTCCTACCCTTAAGCAGGGGCTTAGAGACACAGCTTAGGCCGCCAGCGGGACCGGGCACTCAACGGGACCGGGCTGCTACCAGGACCGGGACCCATGTCCCTTCGAAACCTGCTTTTCTGGACTTCCAGCTGAACTACGAGGCACAGCCTGTGTGATGGGGCTGCTGTGATTCTGAGAGGGGAAATCACAAATAAGGGCCCATCCTCCCCCCCCCCCATTCCAGAATGCTGGGGCCCCTGCGAGTCATAAAGACCCTTATCTGATCCTGACGCTGGGAATGATGGGGCCCCGAGTGTCTAGACAGTGAGCCTCTGGCCAGACATATGCAGAGGCCCAAACATTCTGCTGTGCAGGGACGGTAACTCAGTAGCAAAGGGAGCCTCACTGCAACCCCCCCCCCCCCGCCCCCAAATCTAGAACCTTCAGGAAGAGAACTGGGAAGAGATGGTTCTGTATGAAAAAGGCCGCTCGAACCACAGGCTGCACATCTGCTGGAGTTTCAGGTTCTTCCGGACGTGCAGGGATAAAGTGTCCGGGTGAGACAGATGGCAGAATCAGGAGCGGGACGCAGGAAGCATGCAGGGAGGGGCGAAAGCGATGCTTTAAAAACGTGTGGCTCCTTCCTGGGATGTAATCGGAGCCCCCGCACCTGCCCCCCCCCCCCAATGGTCCCCTCTACTAGGCTGATAGGTCAGCACCTGCGAGCCGTGCAACGATGGCGTGATCTGCGACTGTTTGAGAGCTGGAAAAACCCTCTCATGCAAATTATTTTGTATTCACTGCATTTCCCGGCCAGGTTAGACCCCGCCCCTTTTATCCTGATACCCCGCCCCCTGTTATCCTGTTACCCCGCCCCCTGTTATCCTGTTACCCCGCCCCTGGCTAATCCCACTGCATGGAAACAGGATGGGCCAACCGAATCCATCCTTGTCTTCTCTCTCTCTCCACCCTCCTCTGAAAGCCTACAGTGTTTGTGTTTGTATAGGTTTTATGGCTGGGGGGGGGGGGGGCAAGCAGCTGTCCTTGTCCATTTGTAAGGGTGGGGGGGGGGATAAATTAAAGGCAACAAATGCTGGGCCTCATGCAGGAAAAGGAGATGCTGCTGGGCAGGGCCCTGCCTGTCCCTCCCAGCTAGCGTTACCGCCTTGGCCACCCAAGCCACACCCACCAGAGCCACGCCCATCAGAGCCACGCCCAGATGGGCCAGAGCCACGCCCATCAGAGCCACGCCCAGATGGCCCAGAGCCACTCCTCATGCCACCTCCCGCAGCACTCTGCTCCTGGGTCCTCCTCCCCGCATGATGACAGAACAGACCTCACTCACAGAGCCTAGCACCTCATTGGCAGAACCAGTCAGCATGTAAGTAAACCTACGATTTCTATGTAGTTATAATGCCGGCATGGTGGGGGTCGGGGGGGTTGGTCACATTAAAATGTGAGAGATGGAAGCAGGTGATGGGATGTCTGTGTCAAGCGTGATGGGTCCCTTAAGAATGCCAAGAGGGTCAGCGTGGCACGCTCTGCCTAGACACGGTACGACATCCACCTGTGATGCCCGACATATTCTGGGTGCATGAATCTCACTTCACATAAGCTGGTACCCCCAGCTGCCAATCTTACGGTGTGGGGGCACAGTGGTGGCTCCTCCCTCTTTGCTCATAAGGAAGCAGAGACAGGAAGTGACTGACATGAAAAGCCCCCATCTGTGGCGTCTGAGACAGAATGTGACCCCCCCCCCCCACCACCACCAGGTGTAGGGCCAGAGGGGGGGGGGGTACAGGAAGGAAAAGGACAGCTCCGGTGCTGTGATGGGGCTGAATCATTTTCCCTATCTGAAAGTTGAGCTCATTCCTTATAACATCCATACAGCACAATGAAACACCCCCACTGCCCCCCCAGGAGTGAGTGTTGGGGGGAGGTGGGGGGGGGGGTCAACCGCCGTGCAGGGCCGTGAGAAGACAAATCGCAGCGCTGCTCAGCATGTTCCCATGTGCCCATGTGCGTACCATGGCCCACAGCCTCTATGAACTCCTCCTGCTCCCCTTAAAGGCTGCACGACGCTGAGGGCCCACAGCCTCTATGAACTCCTCCTGCTCCCCTTAAAGGCTGCATGACGCTGAGGGCCCACAGCCTCTATGAACTCCTCCTGCTCCCCTTAAAGGCTGCACGACGCTGAGAGCCCACAGCCTCTATGAACTCCTCCTGTTCCCCTTAATGGCTGCATGACGCTGAGGGCCCACAGCCCGCCATGACTAAGTGCCCTCGGGTGGCTCTGTAACAGGACCACACAGGAAGGTCTTTACGAGAAGCAGGAGCGTGTGGGGCAGGGTGGGGCACAGCCAGCAGCAGTCCATCCACCCCCCACCCACTGAGGAACATCACCCCTTAGCCAATCCTATAGCAGCACCGAGCATTTTCTCATTATCGGAAGAACCATACAAGACAATGCATTCAGCCAGAGGGCCACCTGCTCCACAGGGCAGGATAATCCAGGACAACTTAACACATAGATGACTGCACTTTATTAGACACAAACACATAGTAATGAGTGAGGAGTAATGAGTAACTTCAAATGTTTCTTGTGAGGTTCCTCAATGTTGGAAACCATCCACATGTGGCCGTCAGAAGCCCTCAACTTTCAATAAACGCTTCAAAACCCATCTGTTCCAGGAACACCTCGACCATCCCTCTAACCGCTGACCTACTTCATTTTCATCTGCTTTCGCTTGGCTGGTCTTGGGTATCCTGAATGAGCTGATCTGAATCGCTCTCACTAGGATCTTGCTACGTTTGTATGTCTTGTATAGCTCTAGCGCTGATGCTAACTCACACCTGATGTTGATCCTTCATTGGAGGATCAGTCTAGCCGCCCTTATGCCTAGTTGACTCCTTGACGGCTGTATGCTTGTCATGAACTATCTGCCTTACAGCGCAATGGTCAAAAGCCAAATAAGTAAATGTAAATATAAGATTCAACAAATGTGTTTCCAGAGATGCATACCACTGAGCTGCGGCTCTCTCCTTTGACCTTTCTCACAAACAGCAGGTTTTTAATTTCAGAACGGCCATTAACTGGATATTCATCACAGCATCATCTGTAAATTCTAGTGTGTAAAAATCCCAGGAGGGCAGCTGTTTCTGAGATGCTGGAATCACCACATCTGGCACCAACAATCACTCTGCATTCAAAATAATAATTTCAGCCAGCCTATCGCTTATTCAAACGGAAATGAACACCTCTTGACCGTTTGCCTGGTTTATATTTTGAAGTCTAGCCACTTGTGTTAACGAGCAGGTGCTTAATCATCTATATCTAATTCAATTATTTTAAATCAATTAAGTATTCATGAAACATACGATGCCAATGGCACTATCCCACTTTGTAAAATGCAAAATGTCCCCAAGAGAATCAGAACCCTTAGAAGCTGCTTCTTTGGGGGCCGTAAAAGTCACAAGTGAAATAAACCCGTAATCTGCTGAATCAGCGAGACAGCTATCCTGGTATGACATGAACCCAGTGACACAGGCTGAAACAAGAGCCAGTGGAATGATGCGAGGACAGGAAGGAATGAGCATGCGTGGCCATCGGCAGCGCGAGCATGTGAATGCGGAACACGCAGCGCGAAGCGGCCTGACTCAGCACGGCTCGCAATGCGGGGCGCTCGCATGGCGCCGCGCTACAGTGACGGAGTGGGTGGCTGCAGCCTTCCCTCCAGCAGCAAAATAAAGGCCCACTGTTTGCAAGACAATAAGGCGCATTGACACTGCAAACAGCAGGATGCGATGCATCACAATCCACAGCCTGACCCGCCTCTGATCCTTGAAGGGGCTGTTAGTTTCCACGGAGACCTCAGTCGCTCCAAGCCTGGCTGGGAGACCCATGCCTCAGGTGAGTGTTCAGCTGCGGGGGGTGGATGTGGGAACCATTCCTCAGATTCTGTGCTAAATTCGGAAAACATCCCCAACACATGGCGACTCATACAGAAAAGGCAGACGCTTTCCATTTCAAGTGACCCCCCCACCCCCTGTGTTTAATATAGAGGCCAGCAGGATAAGAGATTACCACATAAAAAGCCTCCTTTAAGTCCTAAAAAGATTCACACCCACTCCCCTAAAACACCATAGTACTTACAGAAAAATGGCAAAAAGCAACGACATCATATAAACAACCCCCCTATCTAGAAACAGCACTATGTTTCTCAAGGCTTCAGGGTAAACTGCCCCCCGAAGAGCCCTTTGACAAGCTGTGAAGGGCCCGACTCCTAGCAGCTTAAACATTTACTGACCCTGAAAGGCCGTACAGGGCTGGGGGGCTGGGGGGCAGGGGCACCAGGGAACACACTGATAACTTTCATTGGAGCCCAAACGCTTTTCATTAGGAGAGGCTTTTAATTAGAGGGGACTTAAAAGAGCTAAGAGCGTGTGGAAGGGGAGGGGCCAAAGAAGATCAGAGGCAGGAAGGGGGCTGGAACCAAGGCAGATCCTAGCTTTATGGGGCTATACCGTTCCCTACCACCCCAGGGAGAACTTCACGTCTAACCACTCAGTAGGTTACATGCACAGCTAAGTTGAGCTATGGTTATACCTCGACTACGCCATTTAGTCGGACTACTGTCCTTGTCCCAGTATACATGCGCGAGGGCGGAATCGAATTATTGAGC